TAACGGAGGCATGTTTTTCACAATAAAATGAAAGTTGCGATTATTTTTTTATAAATTTTTTATTTTAAATTGATTTTTTTTAAAAATTTTCTATTACATTTTATAAATGAGTTTCTACTTTCATCATTTCTTTTTCTTTTTTTGAAGATTAGTCTTACATCATAAAATTCAAAAAATAAATATAAAAAATGAGAAAAATAATTAAAACAATACAAAAATAATGAAATAAAAAGATAAGCAATAAAAAAAACTTTTAAGAAATAAAATGAAAATTATATGGAGTGGTGGGTTCTTAAGATTTAGGCACTATACAAATATTAATGGATTTCTTCCTCTCGTTGGTAAAAATTGAAAATAAAAATAAAATAAATAAAATAAGTTTATTATTAAAACCCTAAAAAGTGGAAATAAGAAATAAAAAATTATGACCGGGTGACTCTGACAAAATTATTTTTTGAATTTTCAAATAGTAATAATATACAGAGTACATAGAATTGCCATCATTAGTCATTACTCCTCGCGTTTTTTTCTCTATTCTTTAATAGGAGTTATTATTTTTTAAAAAAAAATTATTCACTTTCTAATTTTTCAGTCTCAAATTAATTATTCACTTTAAATTTACAAAGATTATAAAATGTTGAAAAATAAAAACATATGGACAACAAGCCAAAATTGGTAAATAGTTGAAGACAAACCGAATATTTTTCAACTGTTTGAGGTAAAACCAAAATTGATACGACGGATGGTATAAGTTAATTTTACTCTATGTCTCTAATACGAATATCGTATCGGATAAGGAAGAATTTCGAGTGTTTTTCAAGCTCCAATAAGAAGAGGGGAGAAAAGAATGGAAAATTTCGAATGTTTACGAGCTCCCAAGAAAAGAGAAGAGAGATTAGTATTTATGATATTCTTATTGCTTGATTAAATAGGAAAAATTTGTACTAAATAGGACTAAAACACAAGTCATTTTTCAATGTAAGACTTAAACTTTTTTATTCTCTAAATAGGACTTAATTATGTCTAGTGATGGTGGATATTACTTGAATAATGACTAATAAATAATGACCAATAGTCCTACATTGAAAAATAAAAACATATGACCCTTTATTGAGAAATTCATTATGTTTTAGTTTCATTTATATAAATTTCTCATTAAATAATGATAAAAGATTACAATATATAAATAATATCACATACTAACTAAAGAACATTAAACGGTAACTAATTGACATAATGGGTTTAGACCCATACCAAAACTCAAAACCATATTAACTAAAGAACATTAAACGGTAACCGATAATTTCACAATGAGAGATCACGAGATTGTGTGATCTTGGTTTGAGGAGAGGTTTGTTGAGGTACAAACTCCATCCAACACTGGAAGTGGAGAACATGAATGAACCAAAATATAATGATTACCCCAACCAGCCAACCTCATTATTATGGGTTATTTTGGGAAATACTTAAAAAACAAATCCGTGACTGCTTGACCTAGAACAGAGAATATCGAACTAATGTGGGATTGGGATGACGGCATGTGCGGTTCTTACATTTTTCACACCAATTGAAGGTAGGCATGTGCAATCGATTGGGAATAGATTTATGCAAATGAAAGATTTTGTATAGAAATTATATTTCCAAAGCTGCTGTTTATGCCATCGGCTATCACATATATAGCCTTAGATTTACACAAGGAAACCTATTCAATATACACATCTACCATACATAAACTAGCTATAAAATAGGTAACAATATTAACAAGGAATGAAATCTCTGTGAATGGCGCCATGCATGCATACGGTGCTCCTCTATCTCCACAAATCATGCTAAGCCATATATTAAATAATATTTAATATATTATTCTCTAACACCCCCCCTCAAGTTGGAGCGTGTAACAAACAAATGCCCAACTTGGGAAGTAGAGCATCAAACCGTCCCTTTCCAAGAGCCTTTGTAAGAATGTCCGCGCACTGATTATGAGTGGAAACATGAGATGTACGAATGGTGCCTCGTAATAACTCATCGCGAACAAAATGACAGTCGATCTCAATATGTTTAGTGCGCTCATGGAATACCGGATTAGCAGCGATATGAAGTGCAGCAGTACTATCACAAAAAATCTGCATCGGTGCGGGATGAGAAACGTCAAGAAAACGCAATAACCCACGTAACCATTTAAGCTCACAGGTTAAGACAGCAAGAGAGCGATACTCAGCCTCGGCGGAGGAACGAGCCACAGTGGGTTGTTTCTTTGTTTTCCAAGAGATGGGCGACACACCCAGTTGGACAAACCAACCGGACAAAGAACGACGAGTCAAGGGGCAAGCAGCCCAATCTGAATCACACCATCCAGTCAAGTGATGAGAACTATCAGAACGTAAAAGAATTCCATGGCCGGGAGCACCCTTTAAATATCGAACCACGCCCAGGGCGGCATTCCAATGGTCAATCCTCGGCGCTTGAAGAAATTGGGCCAACGTATGAACAACATAAGAGAGATCTGGACGAGTGACAGATAAATACACCAACCGTCCGACTAGACGCCGATACGCGCCCGGGTCATGAAGAAGGGGGCCAGTGGCCAAAGCAAGCTTGTGATTAGGCTCCAAAGGAGCACCAAGTGCACGGCATCCAAGCAAGCCTGTCTCGGAAAGAATATCAAGAGTGTATTTCCTTTGGCACAAGAAGATACCCGTAGGGTTCCTAGCAACTTCGATGCCAAGAAAATATTTGAGAACACCCAAATCTTTCATATGAAAACAATCGGAAAGATATTTTTTGAAAAGGCAAATTTCAAGAGAATTATTTCCAGCAATTACCAGATCATCCACATAGACAAGAACATGCACCACAGAAGGACCTCGGTGGAAAGAGAACAATGAGTAATCAGAGTGGGATTGAACAAATCCATATTTGCGCAGCGCTCCAGATAATTTGGCAAACCAACACCGTGGTGCTTGCTTCAGACCATAAAGGGACTTCTGCAACTTACACACCAGATCTGGCGTGCGTGAATGATAGCCCGGTGGAGAACGCATGTAAACTTTATCAATCAAATCGCCATGAAGAAAGGCATTGTGAACATCCATTTGATGAAGTTCCCAGTTGCGTGTAGCAGCAATAGCAAGAAGAACACGAACAGTAGTAAATCATAACTCAAATCAGGAACAAAGAGAACATTATTCAAAATGACGGAGTCATTTAGCCTAACACGGCCCGAAGTAGTAGCTGTTACCGTCCTTCCGTCCGGTAAACGAATCCAATAACCCGATATAGACCGTACATCAATCAAGCATTGTAAGTCTCCTGTCATATGATTTGTTGCACCCGTGTCTATAATCCATCGTTTAGTAATAGGAATACCTGATAATTTTTCAGACGAGGCGTCCTTAACAGAGGCTAGAAGTGCCTTGAACGTTTCCCACTGCTCGGCCGATAAAGAGGGAACAACTTCCCCAGTAGAAGTCTCTCCGCTGGAATTACCTCATGACAGCCCTCCCGTCGCCATATGAGCAGCATGTTGCGGTTGTCCAGCAGCCCCTCTGCCAGCACTGCCGCCGCGCCCACGCCCGCCTCGTCCACCACGGCCGCCATGACGTCCCCAGCCTTCCGGATAACCATGGATTTGATAACAGGAGTCTTTGGTGTGGCCTGTCTTTTTACAATGTGAACAGGTCACAGATTTCTCGTGTGACCTATCCATGGCAATAGTCCGAGCTACGAAGGCGGTGTTCTCGGGGCGTTCACGATTCTGGGCGGCACGAGCAGTTTCTTCCTGCGTCATGATGCGGTACACCCGGCTTGTAGTGGGAAAGGGTTCTTGTGAAAGTATGGTCGAACGAAGATGACCGTACAAAGCTTCGTCAAGTCCCATCAAGAATTGATGCACTTTCTCTTCATCTCTCTTTTTCTCCAATTGTTGAGCAAGGTTACACGTGCACTTACCACACTCGCAAGTAGGAAATGGGTCAACGTCATTCAAATCGTCCCAAAGTTTCTTCAAACGACCATAATAAGATGCAATAGTCAAGCCACGTTGATCACACGTTGTCAATTCCCTTTTGAGTTGTTGAATACGTGGGCCATTGACAACGGAGAACTGGGCTTTGATATCATCCCATAGGTCTTTCGCCATCTCCATGTGCGAG